TTTATCTAAAACATAATGTGCACAAATAAAGAACAGTTGTATTAACCATGCATGTAAGCAGAGTTTTATGTGGCCCCCAGGAGCTTGGGGCCCTAAGCAACTGTATTATTGCCTAATGGTAAACCCCCCCTGGTCTAACCTGGTGATGGTGAAGCTGATTTTATCAGCGACGGCCAGGATCCTCTCCAGGTTCTGGGAGCCGAATGTGCAGGGCTTCCTGAAGGGGATGCCGGGGGGGAGGCCTTCGATGATGACGGAGTCCGGGTTGTTCTTGATCCTCTTGTAAGGCACTTGGACGGGGTACTTGATGCCCAACGCCTCCCCGTACTTCCTGTTGAAGAGATCCTGGACCTGCTCCCGCAGCGTGTTGGCCAGGTCGATCCTGGACAGCTTGGACTCCATGCACTCTGGGGACATGAAACGGAGGAGAGCTTGAAAGCTTTGCATCTCTTTCATGGGGGAACCGGAGCTGATTAATGTTTAAAGTGACTCCAGATCTGAGCCTCTGATCGGTGACTGCAGATCAAACATGAGGGTACCTGAGAATCCGGGTCTCTTGGACAGAGCTGCTGCGTCCTCTGCTGGTGTTGCATCATTGGCGTCCGGCTCTGTGGAAAACAACAAACTTTTGTTTTTTCTTCTCTTTCAACAATAAACTAACACAAAAAAAGCATTTATAGCAGAAGCTCATTAGAGATCAAAGCACAGACAGCTACAGGACTTCCTTTTATTGTTTTAGGAGGTTTTAAAGTAAATCCTGGATTAAATTTAACTGGATCATTCTGATCATATAGAGGACAGTTCTGATATTTGCTTATCCTTTTAACATCCACCTCATTTTGGGAAATTCTCGCCTATTCTGCATACCCAAATGGAAAAGTAAATAACTTAGGAACTGTAAGCCCAAATTACATTGATACGTTATTTGGAAGATAACAGCTTCTAGTTTCCGGATATATAAAAGAACATTGGGAGAGTAACACACAGCCCAAGCTGCATCAGTTCCAAAATGACTCAAAGCTGTTTATTTATTCTCAAAGATAACAGGTCTTTTTTGAACAGCAGTTATAAAGACATGCTAGCTTGTAGGAGCTGCTTTGTCATGCTTAGATTCTGACACGCTGCTATATCTGAGTTAATTGTGCTTTGATGAAATGAACATGGTGGTTGAATTGTGGAGAATCTAAGCTTTCTAATGATGTCTAACATGTTTATATTGGTCAACATTTTACATTCTGAGTTATTACATTTAAAGGCTTTAAAACGGGTCGCCGGCGACCCGGTGGGTTTTAGAGGATAAAGTAAATCTGAAAACTACCGGCCCAGTCTATCGCACCGTAGATCATGTTAGACAGAGACGTACCTGCTTCACATACGGACATCAAAGGCATCTCTTGTTTAACTTGTTCAGCTAAAAGCTCCGGCCTGGAAAACCAAACGAGGCAAGTTAAAAAATAATAATTTAAAGTAGACTAACCGTATAAACCGTTTCTGTTTTCTACCTTTTGATAACGAACTGGATGTGAGCGCTGGCAGCCAGGATCTTGCGCAGCTTAGCCGCTCCGAAGCAGTTGGGCCTTCGGATGGAGATTCCTTCCGGCAGGCCGGTGACGTACAGATGCTCTGGATACATCTGAAACCTGGAGTACGGCACCTTGGCTGGTTCTGGAAGACCCAGAGCTTCAGCTGCAGAGAGAAAAAGTTTCAAACCTTGGCTCCATGTTTGGTCTGTAATTAAATCATTATTTAAACAAACAATCTAAATAATAAAGTTTAAAAGATGATCTGTAGAAATAGATTAAGGCAATGTCCTAAATGTGATATTATGACATATTGGGAGAAATATTTAGGCTTCATGCCATCAGGGCGCTCTATGCCTGGAATATATACCAACACTAACAGCTTAATGCAGCATGGAAGGTTAAACAGGTGATCAGTTGGTCGGTTGTTAGTAAACTGTAGCAGCTGTTGGCCTGAAGATCCTTTTTATTTAAATCAAGTCTATTAGTTGATAATAAAATATTGAGTTTTTCCTCGTAGATGAATTTGAAAGTCATTATCAAAGGTCTGTTTATTAGTGAATTCATCACTCGTCATGTTGTAGATGTTATAACCTTAACCTTTTCTTTTATTTATTTTTACTATTTTTATTAGAGAGAATACCAACATTCCTTGACAGCATCACAGGTTATGTATGACAGTGATAAAGAAAAGGAAATAAAAAAACGTTTAGGTAAGAAAGCTCAGTAATAGGCCACACATGACTGAAAATGATAAATAGTAAATAATTAGTGGACATTTAGAGCAGCAGCCATTAAAGATAGTCCTTCCCAGTCAAATGGCAGCCTGCTTCCCTGCAACTCCCAGCAAAATCTCCATGAGCCCAACATATTGTTTTTACTCTGACTCCACCCTTTCACTGGATTACAGGGTCTGACCAGCAGATGGCGCTTCTCCTTAGATCTTAATGTCCACAAATCATGACAGAAAGAATATTTTAGTACAAAGATTGATGTTTAAAAAGAAACTGTAGAAGACCAGCCAAGGACTGGCCAAGGACCCGCCAAGGACCAACCAAGGACCGGCCAAGGACCCGCCAAGGACCGGCCAAGGACCGGCTGAGGACCGGCCAAGGACCAACCAAGGACCGGCCAAGGACCCGCTGAGGACCGGCCAAGGACCAAC